ACAGACCTTATGAGACGTATGATGCTTTGCATTTCTGCATCTGCAAAGAAGATTACACACAACAGAGCAAATTAAATCCCTGTAGCAATGACGTGGTGGTCCATGAAAGTGAATTCAGGGGAAAGTTTGAAAGTTCGTTTAAGACCAGGAGTGGGAGAGTCGCAGCGGAGAAAGAGAAGCAGAAGCCAGAACGCGAACGTGTTTCGGAATTAATCGACGTGACACATCCCACTTGACTCCTTAACTTCTTCGTGCGCCGTAGGCAACGGTATTCCTTCTCTTCCTAGCAACTTCTAGCAGTACCACACCTACTGAAGAGCTGATAGTTACTCTCCTCCTCCGCGAAAGGCAGCCAGCTTTAGACCAAGATCCTTACACTCCCTCGAAAAGTTTGGAGCGTGTGAGCGATCGTCCTGGTTTCATATGAATTCTAATTATTAAAAGGGGCAATGCTTCCACTGCTGCCTGTGACGCCTGTGCATGTGCACCTTGTAACTTTCATAATTACTAAGATCATTTTCAACATCAGTGGGAGTGCGTTTTTTCTCTTGGCACGCCTCAGTATTTTTTGCTCCAGACTATTTCAAATTGTAGTGAATCGTTGCGTCTTTAAGGGACATTTTGAAATTAAAAATAAAAAAGGGTAAAAGAAGTGAGTTGGATCATTAAAAGTTAGATCACGGTAATTTTGGAATCCAGTCTTTTATCAAGTGAATCATTGAACCTGAGGACATCAATAGGACTTCATTAACAGTATAAGGAGCCAGGTACTTATTTTAATTACATATTTTTGAAAATTTTACTATCCAACCGCATTATTTATCGCTTCTGAACATGGTCTTAAGGTATTGACCTTTAAGATTAGTGTATCTAAATAGAAATGGACCTAGAAAAAAAAATGCTTTAAGCCTTTTTAATATAAAAAAAAGGCTGCAAGTTACTACGATTTTAAGATAAATTAACACAAAATTTTAAAGTATTGATTCCTTCTCACCTTATTTCTAAATGATCTGATAGCTGCTGTATTCTTTGATGAAGTCTTAGTTTTCTTGACAGCGATATGCTGGGCACAAAGACAGTGCACATTTTCTACTTGTATGTAGAACACATATGCTTTTGAAAATATATCCCTCCACGTCACCATTGACGATAAAACACGTTGCACACTTCTTTTTATTGCTAAGTTTATGGACAATTGTTAGGATCGATCACTTCAGCCATTTCTCCACAGCATCTCATTAAGTGATAAGTCATGGCTCTTAAAAATCACTTTTTGTGACGTCAAACAACATTGCACAACATCCTCAGACAATGGATCAGGGTGGATAAAATCTTTAAGATCAATGTTCGGACTTAGAAATCTGTAGCGTGGAGATCCTATTGATCTTAGAATGTTGCTCGATTTTAATTTCTTGAGCAGTGAGTGGTTATCTCATGTTGGATTCTCAGAGGCATAAATTAGGTAAACTATCCAAGTCAGCATTCTCGTCTGTGATGGGAAATTTTCCTTCATCCACTGTTTTAGAAATCCCAGTTGCTATTGATCTGCTGACAATTGGAAGGATTTCTGCGATTCGATACTAGAGTAAGCCAACAGTTCTATGAAATTTTGAATGACGGATACAAATCACAGACCTTGTTACCGTACCGTACTAGTTATTACCAAGCAGCAGTTAACTTATTACCAGTTAATATTTTTCCCATGAAAATGTCATCTATACATTAGTAGTAACCATTCAAATGCATTGTAAAAAAGATCTTCTCATTCACATTGTCTTAGTCTTATAAGCAAAATAGTTCCACGATCAACAACAACGGAGGAGCCACTGCAAAAATACGTCACCACGTACGCGTGCACGTGGTAGGTACGTTCAATAAACACTCGTAGCATCCATACACAACTGAAAATTCGAGCATGGATATATATTATGGACCAAACGTGCAACTCGAGGCGTTGTTCCTGCGTAGCTGCTGCTGTTCTCTCGGGCACACACACTCTGACGTTTTACTCGACCGCAGACATGCAGCCTTTGTATTGTGTGAATTTCGTTAAGGAAGCCAAGAAGTCCCATGTACCATTGCTGGTTAATGCAAGCGAGGCAGGCAATCCAGGCATAGGTTTGCATATGTTACTGGGTGCTCAGGTGAAACTCGGGGAGTTCATATTTAGCAAAGTGTACGCATTCAGGGCGTGCGGCAATACCCAAAATTCTGCGGGGAGACAATTTCAAAGGACGCGTTGGACTCTGTGGTTGCGAGTAATTTGGAGGGGAACACGTTTGTGGTTACCTTTTTGTAGATTGTCAAGGCAGGGGTTATGCTATGTTTAGAAAGTGCTGTTGACATTGCGTTAAATAAATACACACTTGAGTATATTCCATGATACGTTTGCACTGTTGGATACTTTCATTGTCTACAAAATAGTTTTTATCTTGTCTGGAAATTTAACTTTAAAATAAATGTAACTGTTTTCTTATAAAGAGTAACTCTAATGTCCGACTGATTATTTGATTTGTTGACGCATATGGTGTAATTATTTCAAGAAACTGCTTCTCCAAAATACAGGGAGTAAATTGTTTACATTAACCATAACCTAACTTAATGTCAAGATACATTACTGTGTGTACATTTACACCCCAGCTAGTTAGCTATGTAAACTTCCTATAAAGACTTGAAGGGCTATTTCCTTCTAAATGACAAAATTTCTCGCCGCTAGTTGGGACTGTTGCAAGCATATCTCTACGCGTATGGAAAATTATCATGGTTAACGAGTATACCTTGCAAATTGTAAAAAAAAGTACATTAAATAATTTAATGCAGTACTCTTGATATTGGAAATTGCACTCGAACGAAGTCGCAAGAAACTACTATCTTTATTTAAAAAGAAAATTAAAGATTATAAAAGTTGAAATGAACTTTTCCGTAAGGTAAAGTACCCTGTATTCGGACAAAAGTGTTGTTCGGACCTATATCCAGACAGCAGCGATAATTACATAATTTTTTTACAATTTCTGAATAAAAAAATTTATTTGTAATCTACAGTATCGAATTGATTTAGGATAGTTACAACATACGTCGAATTAATTTGATAATTCATTAAAAGAAATGTTTTTTCTTGCAAATCGAGGTTTTTTGTGTTTGGCTGCTGTCCGGAAATTAGATACTACGGTTCAAACTGTACCCTATATTCGGACACACATAATCCAGCAATTCACTTGCTTACAAGTGCAAAGAAATGGTTTTACTATGTAGTAAAATACAATAATAATTTGTTTTTTGCATTTGTTTAACAAATTAAAGCCATTAAAGTAAAATATAACTGTATATAAAGATCTGCCATAACCTCATTTTCTCAATGTTCACGACTGTCCGGATTATGGTCCCTATGTCGTAACGGGACCTGTATTCGGACTATTTAGAAATGCATTGTCCGAATATAGGGGTTTTGAGACTGAATCTTTATAATTATTTTAAACAATGATCACACGGTCACAAAGAACTTTTTTTTTTTTTAAGTGACAGAAAAATTACTTTATTATCTACATGTCAACCGTCTTTTTCGCAAAAACAGCTAATTTCTTTGTGAATTTAGAAATAGTGGATTACCTAAAATTATGTGTGCGAATAGAGGGTACTTTACCTTACCTTCATTTAATCTTTTCAATTTCTCATTTCCACCAGAGTGAGTTCTTTCCACATTATTAAAAAGCAAAGGATTTCTCCAAACCTTCTTGTAACCACACAATCTTAAATATCCATGTATGCACAAGAACAGAGTAAGTTCACGAGCGCACATTGAAATCTAGCCCAACTAGAATCTCCAAGCATTCAACATTTGATATTGCGAATTCTATTTCGCTCAGATACCTCCCACTCAAGCTTTTCCGTTGAATTTGTAACATCAGAGAAGCAATGCACTTCAAATGTAGTGCAACAATGCTACAGCAGCTAAAGTAACCCAGAAGAATAAAATAAACGTATAGTCTCCTTAAAAACTTGATTCAAGAACATTTTTTTTGAACCTTTCATTTATTTTAATTTGTTAACACGGTCACAACGATCGTTGCCATTTGCATTTGGAGTTCTTAACCCATTGGATTCTCAATATCGATCAAACGATTCGTCCATCTCACAAATTGACAAAACGCAAAGAAAACAGCGTAAGGCTTCGTAACCATCGATTGACAGAACCAGCGAGTCCCGAGAGCGTACAAAACACAATAATTAAAACTTTCGTCCTCAAGCACATTCATGTTCGATGACACTGTAGCATTTGTTTATTCATTTAATTCAGGCCCGCTAAAAATTGTCCTTCATCTCTGAATTTCAACAATAAAGGACACGACACAATATCCACTCGAATTGAGCTCCACGTCCGCCCTCACCTACCACAACAGCACAAGAGAGGCCGACCCCGCACCCGTCTCGTCTCCATTTTTACGAGCCCTCGCACAGCAGCCGAGCACTTCATCAAACCTGACTCCCACCCACGGGAGAGTATGAAAGTTCACCCTGTAGACGCCCCACCCCCTCTTGGGAGCGCGAGTGCAGTCATTATCCTTGCCGCGCACGAACTCTCGAATTAAACACAACGTGCCGGGGCCGAGGTCGGGATGGGGGAGGGGTGCTCGCAGTGCGCACCTCTTCCGGAAAAGTTTCTTGATTTGCTCATTGTGGCACGCGCTTGGTGCCACAACGGTGAGATAAATACCCCTCCCCTCTGGCCACTAGTTTATTTTTTCCTTGACCAACCTACGTCGTTGATGCTACGTCCACGTGCTTAATCTCCATCTACTTTTTTTTTCTTTCTATTAGTCTGCAGTAGGATGACAAAGGCCGTGCGGCTGCAGTGACAAGAGAAAGCGTAAAGAGGTGGGGTGGATTTTTGAACGAGTGCGGGAGGATGAAGGAAAAAACGGCAAAAGTGCTCTCGAGGCACAATTTTCCCGGCACAGAGAGAATAATCGCTGTCGAGCCTGCGGCTTACACGCAGTCCCTTTTTTTGCTCCTCAGCTCCCCTTGGCCTTCCTTTGTGCGCGCCACCAAGGACGGCATCGAACCCCACCAAGTTTGTGGTACTGCGCACTTCCACGTTTTTTCCCCACTGCTTGTTTTAAGTTTTTCAACTAAGAAATCTTGATTTACAGCCATAGTTTATACTTGAATATTGTCCGCTTCTGTCCCGTCTTGATTCTTCCATTTGTTGAGTTTGTAAAACGTACTCTGAACATACCATGTAAGGAGTTTAAATTTATCTTATGTGTTACGAAGCAATGACCGATAATTAACCCTACGTATTTTCTTTGTGTTTCAGGTAAGCCTTGCTGACATTGAGTTGACCCACCGAAAAAAAGCCCGTGGTTTGCTCAAGCCGTGGGTAATTATAAATCTCCTTCAATTTTGAAATAATTAACGAGTGTACTCTTACTTGCAATAAACATTTTACTAGTGGAATCCAGTAGTGATCTTTCCGTTTCGTTGATAAGCAAACTCTGCACCAATCAAACGGGATTGATCAAACCCATGCGCTCTCCCAAACGTGTATATCGCTATACTTCGTGCAGCATAAAGTTACCACCAGTAGCCTGTCGATAAATCGCCAGCGAAGACCGCAGGGCAGCGAAACATCCCAAACATCCACACACATCCGTCGCTGTCGGTTATCGGTTTGCGCGCGCCTATGTACCTGTACGTGCAAATTAGGTAATGGCGTGTATATCGATGCTACGCCCGCTTCTAGAACCATTTCATTAGAATTCAGAAGCACGTGAGTGTTGGAAAACTAATGCTTGTTCCGTCAATACGTTAACGCATGTACAGTCTGTGTGGTTCATTTGCAAATTATTTATCGAAGTGAAACTCACAGTGTACTAAGAGAGAAAAATAATAAAAGTTATAAAGAAATTTTGGCAAAAATTACCATTCTGCACAGTAAATCAGATGGAAGCTGGAAAAAAAGGAAAAAATTATTGTTTTAACAGTTAAAGTTATGGTTTGAAAAGTACAAATTATGGTTAGAACAGTAAAAATTTCTATCCTGGAACAGTAAACCTTAAAAGAAACGGTTAATAAATTTTACTTTTCCGCACACACATTTTTACTGTGCCAACCATAACTTTTACTATTCCAACCATAATTTTACCTGCTTAAACAATACTCTTTACTGTTAAAAATATTGTATTCTATTGTATTTAGATTCCGCGTAAATCTAATGCAGAGTTTAGACGTCTTCTATATCCCTAATCTTTAACATCCTTATTTTTTTTTTTTTTTTCGTAATTACCATCTTATTTTCCCAAGTATGCGAGTCTTTCCTGCAGGTCCCTTGCAAAGTTACCCTCAGACGACTCGGTCATATATTCTACTGGGTACTGTTTGCAGGGCGTCTCCATCCAATTCGTTGTACCGACCTTTTTATAACCAACACGAGACTTTACTCGGTGAGCTGGCCAGATGTTAATTTTTCTTCGAAAAAGAAGTCCCTAAAGGTTCAGACATCACCAGAAAAATTCGGAAAAATCGACTATTTGTTTTAAAAATCGGAAAGTGTTTTAGCATTCTGGGTATTCATCACATCGAAAAAACCCCGAGAAAAAAATATCCATAATTTTGGACGGGATTCGAACCCATGACCCCTCGAGTATCTCCGGCCAGAAGACTAGCACACTAACCACTAAGCCATCGAAGCTCTCCTGTTAAAAATAATAATTTTTTCCATTTTTCTCAGCTTGTATCCGATTAACTGAGCAAAATGATAATTTTTGTTGTGATTTTTTTAAATTACTATTATTTTTTTCTCTCAGCGCGTGCTCTAAAACAATCTAGAGTTCGTACCAACCTGTCACAATAGCAATACTGTTTCCAGAAAAACCACTGGGTAGTTTACGGTGGCTATGGCACGAAAACGCCATAGTTTTGGTGATACACCTTGGAACCAGGCTTTCTGGAATTTACTTAGTAGTGCATTGATACGCTTAAATAAATTAAATTATCGATTCAGCATTAAAATGAAATATGCAGTTTTGTTAGAATTATGATTTTATCTGTGGTTTTTTTACGTCGTAGAATTTAAAATGATTTACATTGCTATTTGAAGGTTCTTCGACATAGTTTTAGGATTAAATTTGTCATGCATGTACAAGTTACAAAAGCTACATTGAATGTGCAGATTAAAAAAAAAAATTGATTAACTTTCAGTTGAGTCATGCGATAGCTGCTGTAAAACGCCGCAAGTTTTTTGTAGAAGCCGAAACCACCGTTTTTGCAGTTTTTTGCTACTGGAATGGTTTTAGTTTTTTTGCAATGTGCTCACAACTTAGCATTGGGTCATGAACTTTTTGAAGGTTGCATGCATGGCAAGCCATTAAAGTTTGAGGTATATGGGTGTTGGTGGATAAAACTCTACCACATTGTCATACACAAGCAAAGGAGGTCTATTGAAATCTGGCGTACCGTTATCGAAATGTTTCATTTAAAATTTCACTTATTTTAAAAACAACGTCGTAAAAGTAACCATATTTAAAAAATCTACGTGCTTCAAAGACTTTGACATTTTTCACGATTATTATATAACATTAATTATGATTCACGTAAAATCTCACCACAAGTCGTACTTTAATAGATAAAAAAGATCTCGGTCTTATGCTAGTATGGAAAAATACTTATTTTCAGTTTAATCGTAACGCCCTCAGTATACCCATTCAGTTAGCAAGAGTCGTCCAGAATTTTTTTAAAATTCTCAAACAATTTTAGTCATGTTTCTACTGATTTATGAATTAGAAGGGTTAAAGATCTCTTGAGGATGCTAAACTGCTTCTTTAATCCAATTTAATATGGCTAAACCCTTCATTCCGCATTTGAATGAGTAAATTAATGATTCTGATGAATAAATAAGAGCTGAGTAAATGCTACAGCAGAAACTCTTTGGAATTCAAAATAATGCAAATCAAATTAATTCAAGAGTAGGAATAATTTTTCGTTTCCTCTTTCACGATTGCACCCATCCTGAAACTCAAAATAAAGGTACCGATATTTTTTACCTTCATTTTCCCCTTTTGCCAGTTAACAAGATTAAAACGAGCTTAATCTCACGTTTGTTTTTTCTTCCGATTTTCATTCCAGCTCCTCTCCATACGCGATAAAAAAAATAAGGCTCATTGGACATAAAAGTCAAGAGGATTAAGCTCATAATTCCCCAAGCTCCTCAACAAACAGTCGGCTCGTGCGCAGTTCTCCCGTATATGCAGTTGAACCCTTTTTTTTCGGCTCACCAAAACAAGCTCGCTTTGTTAATCTCGCGCTCATATTTTTCCGCACTTTCCAGTCCGGTTATCCTCTCTGGCTACACCTAATCCTTCAATTCACGGGCGTAATCCCGAACAAACTCGTGATGTCTTTTTTTTCATAAAATTTTCTCTCTAAAGCGATGGAGCAGGGGACTATCAATGGCGCACTCGAGTTCGGGAACGTGATATGCTCATTAGCCGGTATTACCATCAGCCGGAGTTGTAATTGATTCTTAATAGCGTCCGCTCTGGTAGTAATTATATTCGTGACACACCGACCTGTATTGAATAAGCTTTTCAAACGCAAAAGCGATATATATCAGCTTCAGGTTATCCTTGTAAGTATTTATATTCTTGAAACTACTGCTTTGAAAAATTGTAAAATAATTGAACGCGCGACAAAGGTGATTTAAAAAACCTGGATATGATTCAACGGTGCCGTTAGTGGTTAAATATAACCTCAAAATAAAGTCCTTGCTTCATGAGATTTCCTGCCAATGCGTAACAGTATATCATCCAGACATCAAACGCCGGCCACAAATCTCTTTAAAAGTTTGTTTAGGAGACAGGTACTAGTTGGCGACACAGTAATTTGAAAGCTGACGCTGACAAATCTAATTCTGTAAGCACCAACTACGGCGCACATTAGCTAAACTGGTGTTTAGCTTTGACAAGGGGCAGTGCCACGGTTACGTCACTGTTGAGTGAACCATCGGAAAAATTTTCTCTTTCACACCCAAGCTCAAGAGGCCTTGGGAAGGGTATTTTATTGAATTGAAGCATTTTTTGCACCGTGTCTAAGAGGACTGAATTACATCTTTTTAGGTTGAGGAATTCTGTGTGACCTTTCATGAGGGCCTTTTATTTTAGAAAATTAAGCTTACAAGAGTATGGTATGAGATTCTTACGAATAAAATATAAAGTGAAAGAAAAAAAGTGATTAACGTGGAGGAGTAAATTTTATTTTGAGTACCAAAAGTTACTTAGCCTGTAAATGTAGATGTCCTAACAGTTAGTTACCATAACTGGATAGCTTTGACTGAACACATGAATAGTACAAGAGAGAAAACATTCTTTCTATGACAATTTTTTTATTTGTTTCCTCTCCACCTTTTTGCAGTTTGAATTTTTGAACAGTAGCAATTATACCTATTTTATTTTTTTTCATTTTTGCATACTGCCCGTACCTCATTGGATTCTTTTTCTTTATGACTAAAGCGTATTAACCTGAAGATCAGGCGTTATTTATTGTCGGTTTTTTTGTAATTTTACCACTACAGTTTTTGCCTTGTTATCTTTTAGCTGGATATCTCTTCTCGTATTCAATTTTTTGTTTATTTTTTCAAGCCATTTTTACTTTACATACGTTAATTGGGAAACAATTAGGGCATTTAAGAGCTATAGCCATATTTTGTCATTATGGACTTTGGAGTATCGTTTTGTACCGTAGAAATGAAAATTTTTTTCATTCGGGCGTTTTTAAGGGGCGGGTTTGCCCTAGGTAAGAAAAACAGTGTTCGTCACACAAGTGCCATCCATCTGGGACTACCTTACGGTATCTTGGGCCTGCTTCAAAGGATCCTTGGACAGCTAAATAGCTCCGGAAGCCATGACACTTTGTGCCGAAAACGACTATTAAGTACTAGATAAATTCAATGGTTGTAACAGTTGCATGACAAAAGTATTTAAAGTATTATATACCTATTTTTCTACTGAGGGCACACTTGACCCTCAAAAACGCCTCAGGTAGAAAAATGTACTTTGGGCCCAACTCTTCTACCCGTAGGCCCAAACTGATTACAACGGCGCAAAGCGTCTGTTACACTTTGTGCCCATGGTAAGAAAAAACAGTGTCTTGAATCACTTTCAATACAACCAGAGATAACACAAAAAACAGTAAATATTTTTTGGAGCATTTTTGACAAATAATGTATGTATTGATAAAACAAAAGTGTACATCTCATTTGCACCCCAGAAAGGGGAGGAAACATGTGACTGGGAAAAAAAAGAGGTAACCGAAAAGGTGCAAGTCAGACGAACAATA